TTCCACAAAACGTTGGTTCATTATACTGATGACATTGCGCTGACTGAACCAAGTGAGCAGGAGGTAGCACCCACTTTGGACCAGTTAGTAACACATATGTGTGTCAAAGGATGGGGAATAAATCCAACCAAAATTCAGGGGCCTTCTGCCTCAGTGAAATTCTTAGGAGTTCAGTGGTGTGGGCATGCAGAGATATTCCTTCTAAGATGAAGGGTAAGTTCTTGAACTGGCCCCTCCCACCACCAAGAAAGAAGCACATTTAGTGGGCCTATTTGGATTCTGGAGACAGCACATTCCCCATTTGAGTGTGTTACTCTGACCCATAGACCAAGTGACTGGGAAAGCCGCTAGCTTTGTGTGGGGCCTGGAACAGGAGAAGGCTCTTCAGTGGATCCAGGCTGCTGTACAGGCTGCTCTAACACTTGGACCGTGTGATCCAGCAGAGCCGATGGTACCTGGGGTGTCAGTGGCAGATCGGGATGATATTTGGCGCCTTTGACAGGTCCCTGTAGGCGAATCACAGAAGAGACCGTGGGGATTTTGGAGCAAGGCTCTACCACCATCTGCAGACAACTATTGTCCCTTTGAGAGACAGCTCTTAGCCTAATAGGCCTTAGTGGAAGCTGAATGTTTGACAACAGGCTTACCAAGATACCATGTGACCTGAGCTGCCCATCATGAGCTGGCTGTTGTCTGACCCATCAAACCATAAAGTGGGACATGCACAGAAACAATCTATTATTAAATGAAAATGGTATATAAGTGGTAGGGCCCAAGCAGGTCCTGAAGGCACCTGTTATAAGAAAGTTACATGAAGAAGTTGCCCAAATGCCTATGGTTTCTACTGCCAATGCAATGCTGTCTGCTGCTCAGCATGCACCTATTGCCGTGTGGGGTGTGTCCAAATAGGCCCACTAAATGTGCTTCTTTCTTGGTGGTGGGAGGGGCCAGTTCAAGAACTTACCCTTCATCTTAGAAGGAATATCTCTGCATGCCCCCACCGCTGAACTCCTAAGAATTTCACTGAGGCAGAAGGCCCCTGAATTTTGGTTGGATTTATTCCCCATCCTTTGACACACATATGTGTTACTAACTGGTCCAAAGTGGGTGCTACCTCCTGCTCACTTGGCTCAGTTGACCAGGGAAGAGAAGAATGGGGCCTGCTTTCTCTACCATCGTGGTATTCCACAGTCTTGCTTCTGACCAAGGAGCTCACTTCACAGCCAGAGAAGTGTGACAGTTGGTTCTCAGCCATGTTCCTCACCATCCTGAAGCAGTTGACCTGATAGGTGGGATGGTCCTTTGAAGACACTGTTACAGCACCAGTTAGGTGACAGCAGCCTGGAGGGCTGGGACAGAGTTCTCCAGGAGACAGTATATGCTTTGAGTCAACATCCCATATATGGTATGGTTTCTCCCATAGCCAGGATCCACGGGTCTAGAATCAAGGGGTGGAAAGGGGGATGGTTCCACTCACTACCACCCTTAGTGAACTACTAGGAAAAGTATTCTTCTTGTTCCCATGACCTTACATCCTGCTGGCCTAGAAGTTTTGGTTTCAGAGCAGGGAACATTCCTGCCAGGAGATGTCATGTCTGCTTCTCGGCCTGTGTCCGAGAACGTGCGGAGGGTGTCGGGGATTGACAACACAGAGACTCGTTCAACGATATAAAGAAAACTTTAAACAGGCTCCAAAAAGGTTCAAGAAAACCTCCTAAGAAAAGCTCCCACCAGAGAAGCTTCTGCTCTCTCCTCTCCCCTGGCTGGTTCTGCTCTGACACCAGAGGTGGATGTGTGTGGGTTTGAAGGTGCAGTTACTCTTTGGACAAGGTCGAGGTCAGGGCGCTTTCCGTGGGAAGGCCTTTTCCAGGAACTTATTGCCCCAGATATTGTATCGTTTTTAGTAAACATGTTTTTACTAAACATTGTCTTACAGCTTGCCTACTCCCAGGCAGAAGGGGAAGTGTGTCTCTGCTCAAGGTCTGGTGTTCCCACAAGGAGACATAACAAACATTCCATTGAACTGGAAACTCAGACTTCCCCTGTCCACTTTAGGCTTCTAATGCTCTTAAGCCAACAGCTAAGAAAGGAGTGTTAGGAGGTATGATTGATCCAGATTACCGTGGGGAAATTGGATTGCTTCACCACACTGGAGGTAAGAATGATTATATTTGGAGTTTCTTGGTTACCATGCCCAGTGGTTAATGTTAATGGGAAACTACAATGTAATCCAGGCAGGAATTAGACCTGCCTTCAGGAATGAAGTTATGGGTCATTCCTCCAGAAAGACTGAAGACCTACTGAGGTGCTTGGTGAAGGGGAGGAAATACAGGATGTGTAGTAGAGAAAGCTAGTTATAAATATCAGTTAATATCACGTGACCCATTACAGAAACAAGGCTTGCACTTGACATGAGTGTTTCTGTTATAGTTTGTTAATGATATGTTTGTACAGATATTTGTGTTTTCTTTATCACGTAACATTTAGGTTTTGAGATTTCCAAAGAATGGTTCTCAATGGACTTTGACACTTATTCTAAAGTGCACAATGTGCTTGCCGTTGTGTGAGGGATAGTTATATCATGTTAGGTGTAGTTAGGACCTGGTTACATATACATTGAATTTGCAAGTGTACGTAGGATAGACTATGTTAGGCGTAATATGGCCTGCTTATTGTTTTCATTTGGAAATCAATCATGACACAGACTGGGGACACCTCTGAGTGACTTTGTCTCTTAATTTAGTCATTTGAAGCGGGAAGACCCTTTTTGTTGTTGTTGTTAGAGACAGATTTCTCTATGTAGTTTTGGAGCCTCTCCTGACACTTGCTCTGTAGGACCAGGCTGGCCTGGAACTCATGGAGCTCAGCCTGCCTCTGCCTCCCAAGTGCTGGGATTAAAGGCATGTGCTACCAACGCCCAGCTGGGAAGACCCATTTTTAATACTGAACCTTTTGAGGTAGAAAGATCCATCTTTAGTCTGGGTCCCTCCTTTTGGTGGCAGCCTACAGAAAGGACATGGGAGGAAGTGCTCTGTCTGTCTGTCTGTCTGTCTGTCTCTGTCTCTCTATCTCTGTCTCTCTCTGTCTGTCTCTCCCTCTGCCTTCTTGCTCTCCCTCTTGTTGGCAAGTCTGTTTATTCATTGGCGTTACGGCCTACTTCTTTGGGATTCTGGCATATACTGAAGACAGCTGAGACATCCAGCCTTGTGGACTGAACAACTACTGGATTCTTGGATCTTGCATTGGTAGACAGCCATTGCTGGACTAGCTGGACCGCAGCCTGTAAGCCGTTCTAATAAATTCTCTTTTTTCAATTTAATTTAAATTAAAAACAATCTTATTTTACATACCAATCCCAGTTCCCTTTCCCTCCCACCCTCCCATGCTCCCCACCATCTCCCTACCCCACCCCCATCCACTTCCCAGAGAGGGTGAGAACTCCCATGGGGGAATCATCAAAGTCTGTTATATCATTTGGGGCAGGGCCAAGGCCCTCTCTCCTGTATGTAGGCTGAGAGTATCCCTCCATAGGGAATGAGCTCCAAAAGCCCATTCATGCACTAGGGATAAATAATGGTTCCACTGTCAGTGGCCCCATAGACTGCCTAAGCCCCCCAACTGACATCCACATTCAGGGGTCCTGGTTTTGTCTTATGCTGGTTCCCCAGATGTCAGTCTGGGGTCCTTGAGCTCTCACTTGCTCAGGTCAGCTGTTTCTGTGGGTTTCCCAGCCTGGTCTTGACCCCTTTGCTCATCACTCCTCCCTCTCTGCAACTGGATTCCAGGAGTTTGTCTCAGTGCTTAGCTGTGAATCTCTGCTTCTGCTTCCATCAGCTACTGGGTGAAGGCTCTAGGATGGCATTTAAGGTAGTCATCAATCTCATTAGAGGGCTGATCTCCAAATTCAAGAAGTTAGTCACCAAAACATCAAATAATCCAATTTAAAAATTGGGTACAAGCTGGGCGTTGGTGGCACACGCCTTTAATCCCAGCACTCGGGAGGCAGGTGGATCTCTGTGAGTTTGAGACCAGCCTAGTCTACAAGAGCTAGTTCCAGGACAGCCTCCAAAACCACAGAGAAACCCTGTCTTGAAAAACCAAAAAAAAAAAAAAAAAATTGGGTACAGATCTAAATAGAGAATTCTCAATAGAGGAATCTCAAATGGCCAAAAGGCAATAAATCATATATGTGTGTGTGTGTGTGTGCGCGCACACACATGTAGTCATTCTATAAGTTTAGAGAACCTTGACTAATACACGACCCAATAATCTGATGCCTGGCTATTTACCCAAAAGAAATTAAAATATATTTTTGATGTTGAATATTATCAACTTGATAGTCTTAGCATCACCTAGGAGACAAGCCTGCAGGCACGGCTGTGAGGGATCGTCTATATTAGGGTAACTGCGGTGGGCAGAGCCACCCTGAATGTGGATGACATTCTTCAGCTGGCTAGTGCATAGAGACCAGCTGAGTGCATTCACTCCTCTCTGCTTCCTGGCCCAGGTGCCAAACCTTCCAGGCCATGACGGGCTGAACCTTGAACTGTGAGCCACAGTAAAACCTTGTCTCCCTGAGGTTGCTTTTGTCCCAGCAACAGGAAATGCTTACATGTATGCCCATAGCAGCTCTAGTTACAGTCACAAAGCCTGTGAAAACCTTCAGGAGCTAAGCAGACAGCGGACCGCTCACAGGGTATAGACCAGGAGAAACCAGGAGAAACGAGTTTGATACGTGTAACAATCGCAGGAACCTCAAGAGCATTTGCTAACAGAGGCCAACAACCACTTACATAAAGTCCAGTTGCGTATCTATGACATATCTGTAGGGACAAAACCAAATGATCGGGTTGGGATAAGCCTGTCACCTATACCAGCATGCTATAAGGCAATGTTCTGGAGGACAGAGCTGTTCTGCACTGATGGTGGCAGAAGTGACCATTCTCTGTGTGTGTCTGTGCGTGTGCACACGCATGTGCTAAAACTCACAAAAACTATACTCCATAAGAATCCATTTTATTGAACGTTAGCCTTTAAAACACTTGTTAATATGGTGACGGAGCTAGGAGGCCCTCCTCCGTCAAGTCCTGAAGAAGGCAGGGAGAGTGGCACCAGGTAGGCAGCAGGCAGGGGCCTTTTGAGCCAGAGGGTGCCTGGGGATGTAGGGGACAGAGGACGCGGTGATGGGCCACTTCCGTGCTTCTGCCTCAGAGAAGGTGAAGGGTGGTCACAGTGTCCGGAAGCAGGGACAGGAAGTGAACTGGGAAGGTGGGGGAGGCCTAACTGGAGGGGTACAGCTGAGACAGAAACGCTAGAGCCACAGGACCCGCGTGAGGACTGCAGGTTTGGAGCTGCGGCAGGGGTATCAGAAGCGGCAGAGCAACACGTCATTAAGAGACCAGGGAGCCTGCGCCTCACAACTCACGCGGCAAGAGCACTCGGCTGCTGCCCACTGATCCTGCTGGTTCTCAGAACTGCTGCCAGGCTGGGCTGCAGTCTCTGTTCCAGGAACCAGAACAGCTGGGGCTGCGGATGGATGCCGGATCGTGGGAGGGGAGGCCAGGCTCAGCCAGGCTGGAAGAGGAGGCATGTGGGCTCTGATTCCGGGGCTGTGCTGTTTACGAAGTCTGGGGCCCAGCTGTGGGTGGTGGGGCCCAGCTGTGGGTGGTGGGGCCCAGCTCTGTGGGTGGTGTTGCCCAGCTGTGGGTGGTGGGGCCCAGCTGTGGGTGGTGTTGCCCAGCTGTGGGTGGTGGGGCCCAGCGACAGCCCCAGCACTGAGGGTTCCTGACCTGGGCCACTTCCTTCTCCCGGGGCAGCACAGTCCTCAGTCAGGCTTCTTGCTTCTGTGCAATACTTCACAGCCAGAATTCTATTTCCCGTATCAGCTCAGCACAGGCAGGGCCACGTGTCTCTTTTCTAAACACTGAATAGGGTGACCTGCAGCAACCACAGCTGGACAGACCAAATGCTCACACCAGGACCACAACCAAGACTTCAGACTCTGCCACAGTTCCATGATGTACGAACTGCTCAGAGCCCCTCGCCCAGAGGAGTGTGCAGGTTGGAAGCTGACTCACTCGGGGTCACATCTTTCCAATGTTCGAGCAGCTGAAAATTCCATTTGCACACGTGTGGCCATGGGGTGGAAGCCCACTTTCTGTCTAGAAACATTCCTGGTCAAACGTGAGGCAACCCCTCATCTTTTGTGGGTGGGCGTGGCAGCCAGCAGGCAGGATCAGGCATTTCTCTGCTCTGGAGGAAGGTACTTGAGGCCCAGGAGTCTGAAAATATCTTCCTCAGAAGTTGCATGGAAAAATGTCTTCTGCAAGAACAAGAGAGTTAGTGCCTGGATCATGCTTCTGGGCAATGTAGCTGGCCAGGCCATGCTTAGGCCATGCTTCCGTGCATGGCTGGGACCAGGCCGTGTTACTGTGCAGTGTATTGCTGGGACCATGTCATATACCTGTCAGTGTACATCATATTTGATATTGTGGGCCAGGATTCAGGTTACGGCAACCGTTTTATACCCTAGTTCCAGGCAACTTACCCGCTCAGCATCAAACAGCCCATGGCTGTTCAACCACAGCCCCTTCTCCTGCCGGCTGAAACGCCGTAGCTCCCTCTCAAAAAGCTGGGGAGAGATGGGGACAACTACTTTTAGCAGGGCTGACCCACCCCAGGCCCAGGCCCCCCCGAGGAACACGTGACCTACCTGGGAGCCAGTCCAGCCAAGAAGAGCAAAGGGGAACTGGCTGTTAGGCGTGACCACAAGATCCACCCTCACGGCTTTCCATGTTGGACAGGGATGCAGGCCCCGCCCTGAAGCTGCGTGCGGGGGCTGAGGCAAGCACAAGATGCAGAAACTCCTCTCGAAGGCGTCCATGGTGTAGCTGTGCCGCAGGAGGTGGGTGGAGTCTAAGCGGCTGCGATGGTGCTGGTGATACAGGACAAGTCCCTGCGAGAGGGGAGGCAGGTGTGGCCGCGCGTAGCCGTGGTTCTGGGGGGCAGAAGGCTGGCCAGGGGTCACTCCTGGGCAGAGCGTGGAGGCCCTCACCTGGCTCTGTAGGTGGCTCATCACTTTGGGTAGCAGTCCCACTTCTTGGCCCTCCTCAGGGTGAGTGATGAGGAAATCCACGTCATGACCTTGTAATTTCCCCCTGAAAGAGAAACGTTGATTCTCAGGTCTCAGCACTGAGCCATGTTGCAGTGAGAGTCCCTGCCTCCGGGAAGAGCCTGGAGTATACTCCATGGTACGGTGGGCCCTCTTACCTCCGGAAACCGCCAGTCAGTGTGACAGAGGCTCCGGGCAGGACCTGCCCCACGGCTGCCTCCACCAGGCGCTGCAGGGCCTCGGCATCAGCTCGCCCAACAGGGGTGCTCAGGTCCCGGTGGTACTGGAGCCCTGTGGGCGGCACAACTTCCTCATGGCCCCGCCCCCAGCACACGGCAGCCACCACAGCTCTGTGGCTGCAGGAAAGGCAGCGGGAAGGGCTGGGCCGTGTAGACGGAGTTTCTGTCCCTCCCGGTCCCACAGCTGTTTAGCCCCAAATAAACGCACAGAGGCTTATATTAATTATAAACTGTTGGCCGACGGCTTAGGCTTCTTACTGGCTAGCACTCTCTTATTTATTAACCCATTTCTATTAATCTAAGTATTTCCACGTGGTGCTGGATTATTAAGACTGCCCAGGGGCTGGAGAGATGGCTCAGAGGTTAAGAGCACTGACTGCTCTTCCAGGGGTCCTGAGTTCAATTCCCAGCAACCACATGGTGGCTCACAACCATCTACAATTCAATCCGGTGTCCACTTCTGGCATACAGGCAGAACACTGTATATGTAATAAATAAATAAATCTTTAAAAAAAAACAATAGCTTTAAAAAAAAAAAAAAAGACTGCCCAGACCTGTTACTCCTTTGGCAGCTACATGGCATCTTTCTGGGGGCTTCTCTATCCTCCTGCTTCCCAGCATTCCTAGTCTGGTAGTCCTGCCTATACTTCCTGCCTGGCTACTGGCCAATCAGCATTTATTCACCAACCAATACAGAAGGATATCCCCCATCAGGGCTGGATCTGACTCTTAAGATCGTGTACCTGATCCACTTCTCCTTTTAAACATAATTTCTTATTTTGGGATAACTAGATTCACAAGCAATTGAAATAAACAAGATCCCTTTGCCCAACTCCCCACAAACATAGTATCTTGTAAAACTCCAGTGAGTTTGAGACAGGCACAGTCTATATAGAGAGTTTCAGGCCAGCCAGGGCTACATACCAGAGAGCTGGGGCAGAGAGTTTAGCATATGCCTTATAAGGCTCAAGGTTCAATTCCCAATACCACAACAAAATAAACAAATCTTTCACAGAGTTACATGGAACAAAGAAGCTAGCACAGGCTCGATGCAATCAGCCCTTTTAAAGTTTTAGGCTCACCAAAAAAAAAAAAAAAAAAAAAAAGCCGGGCAGCGGTGGCACACGCCTTTAATCCCAGCACTCGGGAGGCAGAGGCAGTCGGATCTCTGTGAGTTCAAGGCCAGGCTGGACCGACAGCCTCCAAAACAATACAGAGAAACCCTGTCTCGTAAAAACAAAACAAACCCCCCCCAAAAAAAAAAACAAAAAAAGTTTTAGGCTCTCCATTAATCCAAGGCAACCAAAGGGTGGTAAAAGATGTGAGGAAGACGGTCTGCTGCCAGCCACCTCCCCTCTGGCCTACTCTGTCTTCCTGCCTGACAAAGGGGCACCACCGTGCCCTCCATGCTCAGTTAGGGAGGTCTAAGCCTAGCACACAGCGAGCCCTTAGTAAACACTGCTGGTCATCCTGTCTACCCTGCCCTGGGAAGAGAAACTGAGGCAGGAGCACCCCGGGGAGGTCACTGGCAGGCCATGGCACCCTTCAGCAGAGTCTCCAGCCAAGACCACCAGAACGACCAGGCAGGCTACACAGGCTACATCGCCTGCTGGCTTCCAGAGGCACTCATCACAGAAAGCAACCAAGACTTAGAGGTTAGCCTTGAGTCATGGTTACATGCCTAGCAAATAGAGGAGAGACCTCAAGCTAGGCATAACAAATCCAAGGTTTATGTTATTTCCATTCATGGAGGCACCTGTACCACAAAACCATACACACACATTGAACAGGTAGGCCCAGACCAAGGCTGTCTCTAACACAAAGGAAATCAAACAGGAGGAAACATGAGGCCCAGATGCCATAGCAATGCTATGACAACTACCACAGAGAGGGCCATGACAGACTCTGGCCAGAGAGAGAAAAGCACAGGGAGCCAGGATCCCGCGCACCAGCTGCTCCCCGGCACTCAGGGAGTCAGCATGTTCCACAGCACAGCTAACGGCTTCATTGTGTAGCGCTCTCAGGTCCAGGCGGCTCTGGGAAGTTTACCTGCTTTCTGCTGCTGGGTTAGTCTCTGGGGCTGCTCTCTGAGCTCATCCAGGGTTCGCAGTCCCTCCTGGTACCACCGGCTGGCAGTCTTCACACCGACCCCAAAGACTTGGGTGAAGAGCTATGTGGGAGAAGAAGGGATGGGTCAGGAGCAAAGTCCATGGAAGATGTCCCTGAGAGTGCTGCTTTCATGCCGAGTGACACAGGACAAGGACCCAATCCTAGAGTCTGGCTTACCCAGACCACTCTCACAGGAGACTGAACCCACTTTCCCTGAGAATATCCCTCCTAGGGACAGCAGATTTCACTGACCAACTGCCAGAAAACTTCAAGAAACTCTCTCTTCACCCCTTATAAAATGTCTGTCCCCTTAATGCACAGGCCCAGACTAATCTTACAATAGACCCAAAGAGTTATCCTGACATATGGGTTCGCCAGGTTTTTACTTCACTGGGAAAACGCCTCCACTTATGACAGCTGGGACTCACTGTGTGTTCCCTTCAACAGCAAAACCAAGGAGGAGTGAACAAAGAGGGAGGTTTCAACAGAGGCGCTGGAGGCCTGACTAGCATCTACCTCAACAGGTGTGGAGAATTTGCTCTCAAAGGTTCAAATATCAAAAGGCCCAGGGAGCCCTGGACTAAGCCTTTGCCTGCTTTGGGCCAATCACTGACTCTCCCCAGGAATTTTAGAATGAGACTAAGGACAGCCCACACAGAGTGGAGGTTGGATACATGGTCCAAAGCCTTCTGTGGCTATGTCTCCTAACAGTGGAGGATACCCATCTGTGTCAGGAGGATGGAGATATGCTGTGGCCATGCATGCCTGTCATTCCAGCATTCGGGAGACAGATACCCTGATCACAAACAAACAAAATGGAGCTGCCTTGCAGAGAAGCAGTCTTGGCCCTGCCCTTCCTGTTTCCCTGGCTCTCTGAACTCACAGTGTTAGACAGACCACAGTCATTGCAATGGACAGAACCTGCTGGGTGGTGATGGCGTATGCCTTGAATCCCAGCATTCAGGAGGCAGAGGCAGGTGGATCTCTGAGTTCAAGGTCAGTCTGGTCTACAGAGCAAAGACAGCAAGAGTTGCACAGAGAAATTCTGTCTCAAGAAAACAAAACTCAAACCAAAAAGATCAAGTACTACGCTTGCAGAGGACCTGAGTTCAGTCCCAGCACCCATGTATGTCAGGTAGTCTACAATTACCTACAGCTCCAGATCTGCTACCTCTGCCCACCTCACTCAAGTGTATGTGTGCACACACACATACGTGCATACCTACACATGCATACATATATGTAATGTAAAGAATGAACCTACAAAAAATAATCTGACATGATTTGAATATGGCAGTGCATTCTGGTATCTCAGCATTGGGAGATGAGGGGAGGAGGAAAGTGGACCAGCTACAGAGTGTGTTCCAGCCCAGCTTGGGCTGTGTAAGACACAGTCCACCAAAACCAAGACCAAACAAACAAAAAGTCTAGCACTTAGGAGACTTATGTCAGCCTGTACTACAAAGCAAAACTGTCTCAAAACAGACAGACAGACAGACAGGCTGCTGAAACTCAGCAGGTAAGGCACTTGCTGCCAAGCCTGAAGTTTTGAGTTCCATCCCTGGACTCTACCTAGAAGAAAGGGAACTTGTAAGCTAACCTCTAACCTCCTCATGTGCCATGGTGTGTGCCTTCCCCCAAATAAGTAAAATTTTTTTTAAATTAAAACTGCCAAGTGGTGGTCATATACCCTTTTTTTGGGGGGGGGGGGTTCGATACAGGGTTTCTCTGTGGGTTTGGAGGCTTTCCTGGAACTAGGTCTTGTAGACCAGGCTGGTCTCGAACTCACAGAGATCTGCCTGCCTCTGCCTCCTGAGTGCTGTGATTAAAGATGTTCACCACCACCACCTGGCCAGTCATACACCTTTAATCTTAGCACTCAGAGGCAGGTGGATCTCTGTGAGTTTAAGGCCAGCCTGGCCTACAGAGCAAGCTCCAGAATAGCCAAGGCCTCACAAGGAAATCTTGCCTTGAAAAACCAAAAAAAAAGTAAAATACTGAGCTAGCATCCATATTATTTATTTTATTTTTACAAGTAGGAGGTCCTCAGGCATATAATCTCAGCACTTAGGAAGCAGAGGCAGGAGGATTGCTCTGAGTTTGGGGCCAGCGTCAGCTTCAGTATGAGAAAAGTCTCAATCAAGCCCCATCCTGGAAAAAACAGACCAAAGAAATTCTAATTACTAACAAAATTCTCTGGTGGTACGGATGTTTTCTTGGACTTTGGGGTGCCCAGGAGGCAGAATGGAGAGGAGACCCCTCTTTCATCTTTCAGTGCTTCTCTTTCTCTTTTGCCCAGGAAACCCTCACAGGGGCCGGGACTAACGGAGAAACCTTACCTACGTCAGCATCAGCACCACTGCAGCTCAGACTGCGTGCCTGATCTCCCCAGAATGGCAAGAGCCTGGCCTCTTGGCTAGAGGACTCTCTTCCAGGCCCTCCCTGATACTCTTTAGAGTATTCTGCACAGTGTCCCACGACACCATGACACTCACCCTCCCAGGAGGCCACAAATCTCAGGCAACCGACCTGGCCATCTCCAGCTACAAGAGGAGAGGCAGAGGGTGTCAGAGCAGTAAAGTCAAAGCACCCAGGGGGCTTCCATATCAGGCTAGCAGTGAGTAGGCACGGGTACAAATGCCCCAAAGAAACAGGCAGACACAGCACCAAGGGCGATACCTGCGACCTCAGAGACCGCGCAATGCAAGGTGGCGGCCCCCTCCATGCCTTACCACACATATTTTGCTCAGTGTGCTCTTTGATACATACGAGAATATTCCATCAAAAAACCAGATGGTGATGAGTGATGCGGAAAACTCCCTAGGCTCAAAACAGCCTCTGCCTGCCTCTCTGCACGGCAGCTGGGAGCCTATCAGGTGTCAGGTTAGCTGCCATTTCTTGGTGACCTACTATGACCCCAGGGCTGGTGAAAAGGCCTCTGCCGGCTGCTTGCTTATGCTGTGGGACCCGCCAGGGTCCTAGCTGCTCCCCCCCAACACACACCTTCATGGTCTGGTGCCTTTCTGAGCTGCGAGCCTGTTCCACTTCCAAACACGTTCCATGCTCCAGCAGCTCCTGGACGGGAGACAAAACAAAACTCTGAGCCCGAGGGTGAGGCTGTTCTCTCCATACTCTGCAGAGGGCCTCTGTGGTGTCAGGGACCAGCAGCACTTGGAAATGGAGACTGCACCCAGGGAGGTAACCAAAACTGTAAGGCATAGCCGGAGTGGCAGCAGCTCCAGCCACAGCTCCTCAGGGCGGGGACCCGTGTTATGGCTCACTCCTCATGAGTCCCAGGACACACCAATGTTTACCTTTACAAACATGTGTGACTTCATCTACAAGCAGCTTTTGCTACAATAGGTTCTCGAAGGAAAAGCATCCAAAAGTCTGGTTCGATGTTGGGTCCTCAAAAAACATTTTCTTACACTCCCCAGACATCCTGGGACTGCTAACAATGACACCAATGCCAGCAGCGACCACCACCCAGTCTACTCATCTAAACTGGGACGGGGAACAACTCACATACCAGGGATCTGTGCTGAAGATGGTTTACTGCGGCCTCAAAGCAGCATCCGAGTGCATGCCCAACCTTCCAGACTGGGCTGGGAACCACCAAGTCCTTTGCTGTGCCCAGGACTCCACACACTCGCCATGACAAGCACATACCTGGATTACTCTAGAGGAATGTTCTCCCAAGTGGGGCAGGCCCTGCAGCTGGCTCAGGGATGTGACAGGGCAGGGTAGGGCCTTGAGCACTGAGGCCGCTCTGTAGAAGGAGAGAAGACGGCCCTCGTCGCCTTCGAAGCCTGCGGCCTCTGCCAGGGTCTCCAGAGCCTCCTGCGGGGAGGGCCCTTGGTTAAGGAACAAGGTGGACATGAGACCCTGCCCCAACCTTTTGGCTGCCAACCAGCTCTACCGTTGTCCCCTTTCTTTGGGGAGGGCATCTGCTCAGAGACGCGGCTTACTGAGAGGGTTACGTTGTGGTGTGTGAGCGGGGTAGGACGCTGGCAGGCATAGGCTGGCATCGTCACTAAGCTTGGGGGCTCCTTCTGGGGTTCAGCTACCTGCAAAAGGGTAAGTCGCGGGTCATTGTGAAGCTGCAGGACTGGCACGTTCTCTACCCCTCAACTCTACATGTGGGCTGGGGACTGAGGTCTCGGAAGGGACGGAGCTTGCCTCCTGTCTCCTAGCAGCCTGGCTCCGGAGCAGCTCAAGGACAGGCCCCTGCCATCTCTGTTCATCCCAAGGACTACGGAAGAAACACCTAAACGTACTAGAACTAAGTAGGTCCCAGATGCTTAGAACACGGCGGGATGCTCTAGCCCCGAAAGCCCTGCTGAGGCCTCTACTGGTTTCTCAGGGCCCTCTGCAGTCCTGGGAGAACCCTGGCTCCCCACCTCCTCCTAAGGACACCGAGGCACTACTATTGTGTCATCTGTCCCAGCTGAGCTGGTCCTCACCTCCAGGCGGTGCCGGACCTCCTCAGGGACAGGCTGCCCAGCCGCCATGCTCTCTGTGAACCAGCTGATGTCCAACAGAACTGGCTGGGGGCAGTCTGGGACGGGAGCAGCCATGCTCTTCTGCCAGCAGATGGCCTCCTTGGCTGAAGTCTGCTCCATCACCACATGCGTCACCTCCGAGCTGGGGGAAGGAGAAGAGAATGAAACCCAGGGCCCCTGCTGTTCTGCCCCAACCCAAACCTTTGCTCTTGTGGTGTCCTCTGCATGGTGACTGTCCTGCACTCTTCAAACGCCCCTTCTTCCGGAAAGCCTTCCCAGCCCCTCCTAGATGGACAAACACCTCTCCACTCTACCACCTGGTTCTGGGTGCAGCCGGTTTGACTTGTTAATCAATCTGTCTGCCACAGGGATTGGGGTGCGGCAGGTGCCAGGGCCAGGTGGTTCTGATCTCAACACTAACTGCTGTTTGGAGACTTGCTGTGTAGGTCATGCTGGCCTGAACTCTGGCACCCAAGCACTAGGATGACCGGCAGGCATCCCACTCTGCTAAGATTTAAATCCAGACGCAAGAGTCTTGGTCTATTTGTTCAAACCCAAGTAGGCAACTCTTGCTACATGGTCCAGGGAAAGCGTGGACTCTGTTTCCTTTACATTGGAGAAACCCAATGAAAACTATCTTGTAAAAATGTAGAGCCATATGCAATCCAAGTTGTTCTCTCCACTTGTATTTATTGGGGGGGGGGGTGCAAACAAGCTAGCCAGCCAGAGGGCACAGGCTCCGAGTTCCTTTACTATCCTCAATCGCAAAGTTACTCCGTTGCCCTGGGCATGTTCTCTTCCTACAGGAGCTGGTTGATGGCTTCTGCAAACTCAGGACATCCTAGGACCGCTGGCTCACTTGGAGGGAGAGCAGCTAGCAAATATGGCACCTTTTCAAAATGAGGAACTTCGAGTTGGAGGAAAGTACCAAAACCGCGAAAGTGCCAGGGCTGGCTTAGAACGCAAAGCCGCAGGTGCATACAACCATCTCCAGCCCTGGACCACGGTGGGTCCACACCGGCTTATACCAGCCCCGCGCAAGGCTGGCATCCCAGCAGCACCGGGCCCTCGCAGGAGCCGCACACCTGTAGGTATCTAGGACGCGGAAGCCTTTGGACCGCGCCAGGCGCGTGAGGAAGGCCCGGCGGCTGCGGCCCATGCGCGGCTCGGCCAGGTAGATGGCCACCCCCGGGAAGCGCGGCAGAGCGGAGGAAGCAACAGCGCGGCGTGGGGACTCAGCCCGCACTCGCCGCCGCTTGGGAAGCATCTGGGTACGGAACTCAGGAGACACTGCAGACCACAGTGGAAGCCGAGGTCAGGAAGGAAGGCGGAAGGTCAGCGAGGAAGCTGACCCGGAGAGGAAGTGCTCTCTGCTCCACTGCGGCGGTGAGGGGTGGGGGTGGAGGACTCTATGCAAATGAGGCGCGCTCCGGGAAGGTTGGGTCTCTGCTGAGGCCCCACCCCTATGCAAATAAGGACGCGTCTGCCGTTTGACCAGCTCCCTTGGAGAGCACCCCTGACTCCGCAGGCCTTAGAGGAGGGGGCCTGGGTCCGTGGGCGGGGCTTCGCCTTCGACTGGGCGGGCCTTGTTCGTCCCTCGGGGGCGGGGTCTCCGCCAACCCTTTCCGTACGCCCCTGCCCCTCAAAGGCGGTGCCTCGGCTTACCCTGGACCAGCTAGCTGCCTCTGCTGATGACGCGGCGCCTGCGCGGCGTCCTCTGAGAATGCAGAGAAGAGCAGAGATGTAGTCCGCTAACGAGCTGCTGGAGTGTGAAAAAGCTTTACAGTCTAACGGCACTGAGACAACCGGACGTTCATTTGGAAAAACAGAAACTGCCCCCTCCCTCGCTGCTTAACATCAAGTAAACCCTAGGTGGATCAAACATTCAAATCTGTACTGGCAGAAACTCCATTTTTTTCTATTTTCCATGAATTCCCCATGAATGCTGGGAACCTAACTTGGGTCTTCTCCAAGAGCGACAAGTGGTTCTTAACCGCTAAGCCGTTTCTCTGGTCCCTTAACATTTTTTTTAAGAAAAGATTTATGTGCTTGGCTGTTTTGCCTGAATGTATGTATGTGTACCCCATGTATGCCTGTAAAGAACCAGCCTTCTTCCATCTTAGGCTTAAAAGCCATCTTATAGCAAAAACAAACAAACAAACAAACAAAAAACTAGGTCCATTCCTGTTCACGATTAAACCTGAGTCTCAGAATTTAGTTATGTCCCACTTGTAACCTTAACTGCAAATTGTTTTGTGCTGCCTGCTCCAGGAATGCCAATGACATCTTTGTTTCACAGAGTTGTTTATAACCATCTTACAACCCTGTCTTTGTTGAGATGATTTTGTTCTGCTCCTGTAACCCCACCTATTCATTTGGCCTGTCAAATCCCCCTACCATGAGTTGTAAAAGCCTTGCCTTCCTCGAATCTGATGCTGCCCTCTCAAACCCCACCCACCTCAGAGGGAGGCAGCCTGTGTTCACAAATAAAAATGCTTGCTTTAATTAACTTGGTCATGATTTGGGTCGGTGGTCTTTCTCCTCCCGTCTTTGAGATTAACACCTGGTGCCAGTGGGAACTTGAAGCGAGTGCCACATGGAGTTAGGGAGTGTTGGGAACTGAACCCAGGTCCTCTGTAAGACCAGCAAGTGATCTTAACTACTGAGCCATCTTTCCAGATTCTTGTGATCTAAGCAGCACGACCAACTTGGTAAAACTGTAGGGAAAAATGGCAAGTGGAACCATATATAAATTTCAATTTTGACCCGGCAAGGTGGCATGCTCTGTACTTTCAGCACTTCAAGCTGAGAACGGAGGGTTTCCAGTTCAAGAGTAGTTTGAGCAAGCTGTAGGTTGTGAATACTGAGTGTGCTGTATGTATTTGTGTGCCTGTTTGAGTCCCAGGGCAGACTAAAGAACAGGTTTGCAGCCCTCTAGGGCGGGTGGAGAAGGGAAGAGACCTCTCCTGGAATGTTGTTTAAGACTACCCAGGTAGAGAGAAGTAGCTTTTGCAGTAGGATGCCAGGTTATGGGGTAGGTCTTGGACCCAGTGTGACTGCAATGTACTTGAATAGAGCACATTCTTGGAGAGTAGTCCTTGAACTGTAGTAAGACTCCAATGGAGACTTAAGATTCATATATGGGGGTGGGGTGGAGAGATGGCTTAGTAGTTAAGAGCACAGACTCCTCTTCCAGAGGTCCAGAGTTCAATTCCCAGCAACCACGTGGCAGTTCACAAGCATCTGTAATGAAATCTGGTGCCCTCTTCTGGCCTGCAGGTGTATGTGCAGACAGAATAAGGATTCAGGCGTTATGTGGGCCTGCCCCTGTCACCTGGCAGAATGCACTCAGGCAGTTCTTTGGTCAGCCCAGGGTTCCATGGCTAAGTAGTATGCATGCAGATGCTAAGGGCCCTTTAAAAGAAAGACCCTGCCCACTTACGTCCTTGTGTGTGTCTGCTCTCTCTTTCCCGCTGTTCCCCTGTGGCAGACCGGACTTCCTGTTGCCCTCTTCTGTCCTCTCTCTGTCTCTGTGTCTCTTTCTTTACCTCTTTTCTCTTTCCTTCCCCTTTCTAATAAAACTTCTCACTTAAGCTCTGTCTACCTGGAATGTTTGTCCCTCCATGGAATCTGCCAAGGTTCCTCTCTGGATTTATCATAACAGACGACACACATACACTTAAAAAAATTCATATATATATATGAATATATATATTGCCGGGCGGTGGTGGCGCACGCCTTTAATCCCAGCACTCGGGAGGCAGAGGCAGGCAGATCTCTGTGAGTTCAAGACCAGCCTGGACTACCAAGCGAGTTCCAGGACAGCCTCCAAAGCCACAGAGAAACCCTGTCTCGAAAAACCAAAAAAAACAAACAAAAAAAAAACCGTGCAGTGCAGTTTCCCTCTGCCTACATACATACCCCAGGGACGCGGTCCCTAGACGTCCTGTAACAGAGCAGTGGCTCCCAGGAGACAAGTAGGAGGGCAGAGACCTGGCAAGGGTGCGGAGAGTTTTCTCCTTTTCCTGAACCCCCAGGCTGCTCCTGTGCCTCTCTGGAAACTGACATCTACTGGTCTTGGTGGTCTGTTCCAGTAACTAGCCCAGGGTTTCCCATCTAAGTCTCCAGCCTCCTTTGCCTCTCTGAGACCCCTACAAAGTCAGAGAGCCTGCCCGAGGAGGGCTCCTCAGCTGCTCTGAGGCTTCCTGCCCCTCCCCACCCTCTCTAGACTGGCTATTACTGCCCATCTCAAGCTCATGTTTGGATTACTTTTGCCCAGATGTATGAACTTGTGTTTTTCCAAAATGAACATCCTGCTGCAACCTCTAGCTCCAGAAGACCTTGGCAGTGTGTGTGTGTGTGTGTGTGTGTGTGTGTGTGTGTGTCACCTTGGCAGTGTGTGTGTGTGTGTGTGTCACCTTGGCAGTGTGTGTGTGTGTGTGTGTGTGTGTGTGTGTGTGTCACCTTGGCAGTGTGTGTGTGTGTGTGTGTCACCTTGGCAGTGTGTGTGTGTGTGTGTCACCTTGGCAGTGTGTGTGTGTGTCACCTTGGCAGTGTGTGTGTGTGGGGGGGCAACCTCTTAGTCCTCACAAGCTTTCCTAAGCAGCACGACTCTCGCCTCACCTCTGCCCCTCACCGCCACACCAGCGCCTGTCTTCAGGTTCATTTGGTGTCTTACACCTGTGCATGGCTTGTCTGATTGAGACCTGAGGGGCCGGCAGTCAGCTGTGATCCAGTAATTGCCGCTCCTATCTTGGTCCCTTTGCCAGCAGCACTTGGAAGCCCTGCGTTTAAACTCCTAAAGCTGCTGGACCTGGACCCGGGGTTGTTGGTTCTTCGTGGACACTGGCCTGGTCGTTAATCTCTGATGTGCCTGTCCCGTGACTGCTATAACTGGCACAAGTTGGGCAGTTTGAACCAATGGAAACGTTCTCTCTCCTAATTCTCAAGGTCAGAAGTAAAACAAAAACAAAACCCGGGTGTCAGCAGGGCCATATTCCTAAAGTCTGTCACTGAGGTCACTGCAGTGGTGGCTGTACTGGTCTCTGCTGTCACCTCCGGGCTCTTCTGACTTTGTGTCCTCTTAGAATGGCACTGGTTAAGACATCACTCTAATTTGGGGGGATCTCAAGGTTCTTATCCTAACTATATCAGCAAAGAACTCTTATTCCAAAATGGTCTGGAGGAACATGGATGGGGGTGGTTAGTCTTCAATCTGCTGAGTCTAACTTATGCATATGTTTGTGTGGTGGGGTTGGGGATGGGGGTTGGTTACTCTTCAATCTGTTACCTGGGCCTAGTTTATGGATATGTGTGGGGGGGTTACTCTTCAATCTATTACCTGAATCTAACTTATGCATATGTTTGGGGGTGAGTTTACTCTTCAATCTGCTGCCTGGGTCTAGCTTTATCACCTTCTCTGACCTTTGTCAGAACCTCAAGATTTGTGTAATTTTATTTTTTGAGACAGGTCTCACCGTGTAGCCCAGACTGGCTTCAGACTTTCAATACCCCTGCCCCGGCTTCCTCATTGCTGGGATTATGGGTGTGTGCCACCATGTCTGGCTTAGATTTGGATCTTTGGCATTTGATGTACTAGTTACTGGGGTTAGGGCTTGCCAGGATCTTGCTGATTATATAACAAATATAGAAGCTTTATTTTTGAGAAACATTTGCTGCCTTTTAAGGAAGGCTGTGTCTCCACTTCTGGGCAGGCACCACCCACAAGAACCGTTGGAAATTGGAGGTCCAGGATAGGACCCCATTGGAATATAGGGGGTAGGGAGAAATCAAGAAATGCTGGGGCCCCAGGACTCCTTTCTGCCTAGGGACTTGGACAGAGGGTTGTAGCAAAGGGACTATCCTTCAAATGAAGGCTCCCTGGGGTTATCTGTCTAACCAACTCAGGTGGAACTGGCAATAAGGGAGTACCTTGGGGGTCCAGAAGGAGAGAAAGACAGGGACGCTTGCAGACCCAGTTCCCTGCAAGCTAAAAGTCCAAAGGTGGCCAGGTGTGGTGGCACGCGCCTTTAATCCTAACACTCGGGAGGCAGAGGCAGGTGGATCTCTGTGAGTTTGAGGACAACCAGGTCTATACAGAGAGTTCCAGTCTAGCCAAGGCTGTACAGTGAGACTGCCTCAAACAAAGAAAATCCAAAGATGATTCCATTCACCCTACCTCAGGAGCCAACACGATTACATTTCTTAGTTATTTTCTCATTTGCTGTGATTACTATTGAAATAAAATGCATATACAAATAATACCGGGGAGGGAGGTCCTGCTTATTGGCATGGAGTTAGAAAATCATGCCATCTTTCCTGGTTTCTGACTTATGACGTTGATAAGTAGGAAGTCCCAAGAGGCTGGACAGGGAGTTGACAAGCAGCCCCTGAGCAGCATCAAGCCAAGGGTGAGGGAAAGGGGAGACGGCAGCCAGGAAGGCTGTGGGAAGACCCTGGAGTCCTTGCTGAAGCTGAGCGGTAGGAGGATAGACAGAGTTGGAAGTAACAACTGAATGGGAGGCTTGGAGGCAGCTATATACCATGCTAATGACTTGTTGTATTTTTATTTTCTTTCTGAATATATTGAACTGATTGTTAAGGTTCCTTGACCTGTGGTGGGTCTATGCACCATAAGCCATGGCAACCTGGAAATCTTACAGGCGGAGAATGATTTGACATCCCAGTCCTACAGAGCTGAGTGGGTACAGCACGCCGGCTGTTTCACCTCCTGATGAGTGGTCATCATTATAAGGATTCAGGCATTATGCTGACCCCGCCCCCGACAGTGGGCAGGATACACACGCTGCCATACAGCCGGATACTTGGACAGCTCAGAGGGCCCTGTGTTGTGTGGCTAAGGCATGTGTTACGTGGCTGCGTAAGGACTCTGTACGCTTGTGCAAGCTTTCCCTTTTAAGCGAGCGCCTCCCACCTGGTCGCCCCTTCTTCCCCTTCCATCTCTGTTTCCCCCCTCCCCTTCCAGCTCTGTTCCCCTCTCCCCTTCCACCTCTGTTCCTGGTCGGCCAACACCCACCCCACCCTTTGCTCCCTTACCCCAGTAAACTCCACATGGGGTTTGTTGAGTTTCATCGCCTGCAGCTGCAGTAAAACAGCAACAATCACTGCTTTCATCAAGTGCTGTGCGTGACTTATCCGGGAAGAGATACAAATCGAAAGTGTGATTTCTGCTGAACATACAAAGTTGCTTTCACGCCACTGTGAACTTGGAAACTGGGGAGAGCGAAAGCCCAGGGCCAGAAGACGAAGGCTGAACAGTGCTCACGCAGGCAAGCAGGCCTGTTCTTGGCAGGGAACTAGCAAGGCGAGGCTGCGCTATGCGTGTTCAGGAAGCAGAGCAACAGGGAGGAAGGACAAGAGTGGTCAGGTCATGTGGCCCTGTTGGTCACTTGAGGGTCTTTGGCTTTCACTCCGCAGCAAAAGTTGCAAGCAGAGGCTCAAAGTAGGACTTGGCCCTTGTTAACTTTAACGTGAAGGGGTAATGGTGGGCCAGGGAGACTCCTCCAACAGGCGACCACCCTGCCCTAGGTGAGGAAGGCAGGCTTCTGGCTACGTGATGATCTTAACAGATCCGCACTGGCTGTGAGAGACAGAGCCAAGGATCTGCTCCAGCAACAGCAAGGCTGGGACGGCCACCACCTGAGGGTAGACAGCTGAGTGTGGAGTGTAATCCATGTTCTGGAGACCTACAGGGACATGGAGGGAGGAGGGTGAGGATCGCCTTGCTGCGGGAGTCACCACCTTGTGAGCGAGGGCACTGTCGGGGGTCAAGGACACCTGCAAAGGACAGCACTGGTGCAGAGGAGGTGAAAACACTGAGTGCAGCTTCCCCCTGAGACAAGAAGGGACGCAAAGGACATTTCCAGAAGCAAGCATGAGGAGGAGGGTGGGGACAAGCTGGCTGGAGCCAGTGGGCTGCCTGAGAACTACACTGTAATCCGTCCCCGAGGCTCCGCCGAGTTCTGCTGGAGGGCGAGGGGTCTCTGGAAGAGTGGCTTCATCTTCATCCACTTGAAGGTGTCACTTTGCCTGCCGCTTAAGTTAAATGACAGCTTAAGCTCCAGTTTTCTCATCCAGGAAACAAAATCCTGAGAGTCCTGCAGGGGCTGAAATGCAAACTGTAGACAGACAGACAGGAATCACTTTCCAGCCAGACGTCTCTTGCTTACTCACGGTGGCACTGAGGTGCCATCTGGATGGCTGAGCCCACGCCTCTGGACACAGTGACCTAAGGACCGAATTCTTTAGCTTGACTTTGTCTCCTGGTACCCTGGAGGCTAGGGAAAGGGAACAAAGGCATCCTTGCAGGACTGCAGCAGTGTGGGGTGCTAAAATCAGCATGAAGCCACTCAGGAAAACGTCAAATTGAGTTTTGGGCATTCTGAAATTTTGGGCTGAATTCAACAAATAGCACTGCATTTGTTTCAGAGGCATGATGTGGAAAGAAGTTAGCAAGGTCCAGGCCCTAGGAAACTTCTGGAGAAACAACCTAGATGCAGTTAAATGTTCAAGAAGAAAAGAAAGATGAGGGGAGCCCAAGGAGGTAATCCCAGCCCAGGGGGCTTATGCAAATTGTGATTCAAATAAACTGTAAATGGGAAATGAACGGAGCACTTTGGGACATCTATGCTCTGACTGAATAGTGGATATTAATGAACTGAAATTGTGTTAATAGATAGAAAGAGAGGGGGGGAGTGTGTTTCTGCCCTGGTGGGACCACGTGATGCCTTCGGGAGGAGAGTGGAGCATAATATATAACGGGCCACGAGTCCCGTTGCAGAGCAGGCACCAGGGCAGGCAGCCCGAGCACATGACTGGTTTCCACAACAACGTGTTTCTGAGGGTGTGCACATCTACTTGGTGAGGTCAGCCTGGCTAGCGCTCCCTGCCAGACTGCTCTAAGCACTCTGCACATGTCAACTCTTTAATGTCCTGTCACTGGGAGCGACATCAATGCCCGAATCTTGCCAGGGAGGGCAAGCTGTGATGGGACATGAACCCCAATGCTTGGCCCCTCGGGTGTCTCCAGGACTAAACACAAAACTCTGGAGGAGTGTGGTTGTTCTCCCTGGTGGGGGAGGGGCAGCCTGTGCTTTGATAACACTTATCAATAGTTTTGTTATTTGGCCTGACATGTTTTCTAATTTTTCCAGAATGAGAGCACAGTACTTACGCAACTGAAGTCTTTTGAAAGAACTGTCTTCGGCAGAGCCATAGCCAGCACTGACCCGGAAGGGTGTGGAGGGGCTTCTGTGGGGGGAGACGCTGAGCCCAGGGCTCCCACCTGAGACAGAGACACACTGCGTGGCACTCAGAGAGGGAATCAAACACTAGAGGCTCCCTGTCCCCACCCCTGCTCCCCATCAGGGAAACCCTGAGCCCATCACCATACATAGTCCTTCTCAGATCACAGCTGCCAGGGACCCAGGCCCTACAGGGAGGTAGGAAGGACTACCCAAGGTCCCAGGGGCACTGGTATCCAGAACCACACAGGGTACAGGCATCAGTGGCATTTCAGTGCCCCAAAGCATGAGCCCATTTTAGGAAAGGGGCATCCGGGGAGGGGGTCAGGCAATGTGGTCACCTGCCACACATGAATTCCTCCTTCACACAGGCTGGGGTTGACTCACTGCCTTCCCCCACCGGTCTGCTCCCCCCCACGGGATTCTGCAGTGTGTCAGCTGTCTAGGAGACTCACTGATGGCAAGTCAGAATGAAGGCCAGGCTGGCTGTGGAGAACAAGAGCTGTCTGAGGAGAAGGTGGTCTCTCTCTCTTCTCTCTCTCTCTCTCTCTCTCTCTCTCTCTCTCTCTCTCTCTCTCTCTCTCTCTCTCTCTCTCTCTCTCTCGATGCTGGCAGGAGCTGGGGAGCTGGGCTGGGTACCTGCAGGGTGTCTCCCAGGCTGAAGCTGGCTGCCCACTTCACGTTTTCCTTGGCTGGGCTTCTGGCTGAGTCTGCAAATGGCAGGAATATGAGTACCTCACCCCCCAACGCATACACACACACACAGGCACACACGCACGCAGGCACGCACACACACACACACACACACACACACACACATCACAACTGCTGATGCTGCTGCCTCTGACTTCTCATGCTTCCTGAGATTATAGCTCACACCCTCCTCATTCAGACACTGACTTTTTAAATTAGCATCCTTAGATTTCAGGGATCTTACTAGACACAACAGCAGGAAGAATACCATGTGTGGCAGAGGATGTTGATGTCAACGTGACAGCCAGGGATGTCAGGAGAAAGCTGTACTTCCCTCCTCCTTTTGTAGCTAGCAGCTGTGATTAAAGGCCAGTGGAATCGATGGAAGGAATGTGGAGCTTTCTGGTAGCTTCTAGAGAGTGTTAGAAGTTTTTGTTGCTTGTTTGCTGGTTGGTTGGCTGGTTTGGGGGGCCAAGGGGTTCTAGACAGTTTTGCTCTGTAGTACAGACTAGCCTCAAACTCTTGCTTCTTTTGTCTCTACCTGCCCTGAGACTGTAGATGCCAGCTACCACACCTGGCTACAAAGTGTTCTTTTTTTAATTTACTTTTTACATTCCAATCCCAGTTCCCCCTCCCTCTTCTCCTCCCACTCCCTCCCCTCCCCCTCCCCCTCCCCACCTCAGAGAAGGTAAGGCCTCCCCCAGAAAGTCTACTAAGTCTGTCCCATCATCTCCTTGTGTCAGGACCACGGCACCTCTCCACCCCCACACCCCTGTGTCTAGGCTGGGCAAGGCTTCTCTCCATATAGAATGGGCTCCACTAAGTCAGTTTGTGCGTTAGTGTTAGATCTTAGACCCACTGCCAGTGGCCTCATATATTGTCCCAGTCACACCATTGTCACCTATATTAAGGGAGTCTAGTTTGGTTTTATACAAAGTGTTCTTAAAGACAGGCATTGATAGCGCACACCTTTAATCCCAGTACTCTGGAGGCGGAGGCAGGCGGATCTCTGTGAGTTCGAGGCCAACCTGATCTACAGAGCGAGTTCCAGGACAGCCTCCAAAACAATACAGAGAAAGCCTGTCTCTAAAAACCAAAACCAAAAACCAAAAAAAACCAAAGTGTTCTTAAAGAACTGTCTTCAGCTTGGATGTTGTGAAAATGGCTGGATTATAAGCATTTATTCACACTGTGAGAGAAGTCGTATGTCCAGGCTAAAGGAACAGGTAGGAGGAGCCAGAGCCGCTGACAGTTGTTAACAGGTGTTTGATTACTGTACTCAGAACTCCTTGCCTAGATTTAGTTTACAAGAGTAAGAATTTCATTTTCCTCATATTTTAGCTTCTACAACGTTGTTTGTTATCACTGGAGGGTGCTTGGAGTTAAGCTGCTTAGAGAAGAAGGATTCTTCCATTCTGTGCTGCCAAGTGATCTTATATAAGACAGCCTCCCTAGGTGATCCTGTTACCAGTGTTTACACAGCTCACCACCCAGGACTTATGACATGGAAGTGTGTGTGTGTGTGTGTGTGTGTGTGTGATGTCACACCTGTGGAGATCAGAAGACAACTACTAGGAACTCCCCTCGGAGGCTTGAGTTATAGATGACTGTGAGCTGCCATGCGGGTGCTGATTCTAGAACCCAGGTCATCTGGAAGAGCTGTCAGTGCTCTTAACTACAGAGCCATAGCTGTCAGTGTTATTAACTACAGAGCCATAGCTGTCAGTGCTCTTAACTACAGAGCCATTTCTCCTGCCTCCTTGGTTTGGATTTTTGTGTTTGTTTGTTTTTGAAATAAGGTTTCTTTTGTGTAGTTTTTTGAGGCTGTCCTGGAACTCACTTTGTAGACCAGGTTGGCCTCAAACTCACAGAGATCCTCCTGCTTCTGCCCTCAAGTGGGATTAAAGGCGTGCGCCACCACTGCCCAACAATTTGGATTTTATAACCTTTAGCGAGGTCAAACATTTGAATACATATGGTGGCTACCTATGTTTTCATAGGCCCTGGGTTCTAGTCCTATTGTATTGTGAATTGTCTGTTTATATCTCTTGGCTCACTCTAAAAAATGCATTTTATTCTATTTTTTCTGCATTTATGTCTGTGTACTACATGCAGGCCTAATTTTCATAGAGGTCAGAAAACAGCATTGTAGCCCCTGGCACTGGAGTTACAGACATCTGTGAGCCACCATGTGGGTGCTGGGAATGGAACCATTCTCTGAAAGAGCAGTCAGGGCTCTTAACCTGTGACTCATTTCTCCAGCCCTTTTAGCTGAGTTTTATCCTTTGGGATTTTTGTTTTTGTTTTCTTAGTGGTAGGACTAGAGCCCAGGGCCTCATGCATGCTGAGTAAATGCTTTCTCAATAAGCTAGATATTTAAAAGGGAAATAAATCAAATTAACATAAAAGTGAAGCTTCCCTTACCAAGATGTGGTGGCACAAGCCTTTAATTCCAGTACTCTGGAGGCAGAGGCAGGCAGACCTCTGTGAGTTCAAGGCCAGCCTGGCCTACATAGTGAGTTCCAGGACAGCCAGGCCTATATAGAGAAACCCTGTCTCAAAAAAACAAAACAAAACAAAAGCAAAAAAAAAAAACCCAAAAAGTAAAAATAAAAATAAATAATTAAATAAATTTAATAACATTAAATAAAAATATATAAAAGTAAAATACAAACTGTTTTTCATGTACAAGTATTCAGATGTGTCTCCACGAAACCCTGAACCATGTTATAGAGATTTAATAGGGCCATTTTGTCCCATTTCACAGAAGAGAGAAACTGAGACTCAAAGAGAAAGTCATAGGCTCATCTATAATTTCTGCATTCACGAGGCTGAGGCTAGGAGATCATGAGTTCTAGGCTAGCCTGTCCCAAACCACCAAAATGAGCACAATGTTGCAGGGTTTGACTTCCCAGCAGGTTGGTCTGAGGCCACAGCTGGTCCCTCAAACTACAGAAGACTAAGGAGGTTTATGCTCTTTTTCCAGTATTCTGTTTCCTTTGAAATTTCATTCCCAGCGACCTTTGTTGTACACAGGATCAAAGCCTATATGCAACAAAGTTTTCTGTCCAAGGTGAGAAGTATTGCCGTCTTACTTTCCTTAATTTTGAAGGTGTACCGGGCCAGCAAACACTCTTTGTCCACGGATCCCATTTTGAAGGGCTTCCTTAACACTGGGCTGATTGTTACACTAAGTTGTCACATGTCCTCTTCGCAGACTAGCAGGCTGCAGAATTACTCATCACTGCTGGAGGCCTGCCCTGCCTGGATGTGGTGACCCCCCATTCCAGAGAGTCTCCCCACAGCTGGGCCCACTGTCTGCCCTGCGGTGAGTGGAAGGAATTCAGTACCAACTCTGCTCGCTCAGCAGCCAGGCCCGGGGAGCCTGGACTGTGGAAAATCACATGTGGTTTTCAAGTTGTTGGAAGCTGAGAGGATTGTTCTGCCAGTCACTGGGATGGCCAGCCACTGCCTGGAAGACCGAGGTTCGCACAGCGCAGGGAACCACCCCCACGGGTGAAGTCCAGGCATGGGCTGCAGAGAAGGAGGTGCCTCCAGGGACTTCTCCCAGGCCAGGGAAGAGGCTGGTCCCTGGGAAGACTCAGTGTCCAGGAGGGACACTCTCTGAGGTCCCAGAGGCCTGGTGGCAAAAGCCAGTAGACGTGGGCCATGGGTACACCTGGCTTCACTCTCTTCAGACCTTCCATGTTGGAGCTGTTGCCACAGAGAGCTCACAGGCTTCAGGCTCAGGTTGGGGAGGTCTGTCCGCTGCCCAGTTCCCAGGTTCTTGCAGCCTCCTGCCCCATATACAGCTCCCCAGCAGGGCTCAGGGCTGACGGGGCCTTCTGGGAAGGAAGCTGGCCAGACCTCCCCACTGGTAGTGCTGTCAGGGACCTGTGGGCTGTGTGTGTGTGTGTGTGTGTGTGTGTGTGTGTGTGTGTGTGTGTGTGAGAGAGAGAGAGAGAGAGAGAGAGAGATACAGACAGACAGACAGACAGACAGAGGGAGAGACAGAGAGAGAGACAGAGAGATACACAGAGAGATAGAAAGAGACACAGAGACACACACACATAGATAGACAAAGAGAGACACACAGAGAAAGAGACAGAGACAGAGACACAGAGAGAGAATACCTTTGGTTGGAAGCTGGGTTCTGTTGCTTACCTGGGACTTTCTCTGTTACTGATGCTGTCATCTGAACAAGTCACCTCCCTGGGCCATAGCTTCTTCACTCAGAAAGGGAGAAACAGACTTACCCAGCAGGCTTTGCCTCAGGACGCTACCGGGTCAGGACTTGAGCTTTCATGAGAGGTCTGAGTCAGGCCAGCCTGTATTCCTCTCCCCTCCCTCAAAGCGGCTTGGGGGCTTCCTCATTTGGATCCTGCTGTCTGAGTCCTGAGACTCAGCCTCCTCTACCTCAACAGGAGAGTTGCACGTCTTTGGTGGCTGGAGTTCTGTTGAAAACTCCATACATTCTATTGTGTCTTTGTTTCCTGACATTTCCTCATTGCAAGGGGTGGCGGTGCCATTGCACAGGTGTGAAGACCAGAGGCCAGCTTGCGGAAGTTGGTCTGTCCTTCTACCACGAGTGTCCCAGGGACAGAACTCTGACCTCCAGGCTTAGTGGCAAGTGCTTTTACTCACTGAGCCGTCTTGCTGGCTCCCTCCAGTCACTGTTGAGTGAACCAGAGGCACATGGGCAAGGAGGTGTGTACAAATTGCCGTGGAACTCAAGGCAACTGGGCTGTGGAGAGGGATAGGGTGGCCAAGTGAATGACATGATTGTCTTGCCCATCTGCCCCAGGCATGTGTACAGCCACAGAGAGGTGACATTTCATCAGTTCCCTACAGAAATGCTCCCACTGAGACGGCCAGGGACATCTTTGTGTACACCTGGGAAGCCTAGGTATACTTCTGGGCCCAGAGAGTGTCATGCAGATTTCAGCTAAGACCTTTAGACTCACCCAGTTCCTTTGGAGGGAGCCACAGCATAAGGCTCCACTGCTTTGGGTGTGAGAAACATCCTCAGAGAGACGCTGGGAATTACTCGGGAACTTCTTGAAAGGCCACAGCTTTCCTCAGACATGGGCAATGAATGAGGAAGCTTGTGGACACCAGATCTGAATAGAGGAGATGGCAGAGTTACCAGTAAGCAGGAGTAGGTCTGACCCTTGTGATCCCAAGTCCAGCATTTTCTGGACGCTTGAGTGGTATCTGAAACAATGACATATGCTAGCCAGAACTTTTGCCTGAATGTTAGGCTGGTTCAAAGGGACAGACCTTTCCTCTTAGACTCAAACCACTCCTTAAGGTCTGAAGAAACAGGAAATGCCTTCATCTCCTTTCTAGCCTCTCCCTACTGCTCCTGACTCAGCATCAGCATTAACTGACTCAACTCCATTATCTTATTTATTTGTTTATTGTTTTGATTGTTTGAGACCAGGTTTCTCTGTGTAGCTCTGACTGTCCAGAAACTCACTCTGTAGATCAGGCTGACCTTGAAAACTCAAGAGATCTTTCTGCCCCGCCTCCTAAGTGCTGGCATTAGAGGTGTGCAACAAAACAGACCAGCTCATTTCTTTGTTATTTTTAAATATTCA